GGGTGAATTCTCACCGTCATACGAAAATATTGACATCGATCGTTTTCCATTGCCACCCTCGCCATCTCAACAAAACCCAGACTGGCATCGAAATAGAAATCTCTCGGTGGCTACGGATGATGATTTACGGCGTTCTAGCACGGGAAGAAGTCTTGTTAGTGCTGTGTCACAAATTTCTGACTCTCCATCCCCACAACCGCATAGGGTGAGTGTGATGGATGATAAATTGTATGTGGATTGCGATGACGACATGAAGCATCATGGTGATAAATTTTCGAATCCGGTTTCAAGATTACTAAGCGAGGATGCCGATTTGGGAGACAGGTACTCGGAGAGGAAGGAAGAAAATGAAGTTGCAATGAGAGGTGGTGAAGGGGTGGCAGATATTAATGAACGCGAGATTAGCGAGTATATTCACCATCACGATGTCGTTAATAAAATAACACATGCAAAAGAGGATAAATTGCAAATGTCTGCAACGAGCTATCCGGGTATGGAGTGGAATCCTTATGTTGATGAATAATGGGAAGGGAGGAGGGGTTAATGAATATATATTTTTTTTTTCTTAAAAGATGAAGAATGACGTTCTGGGTTGGCAGGGATAAGGAAAGGAAATATATGTACAATGAATACGAGAATTATGTAATAATGTGGGAGTTTGGGGTGTAGAAGAGAAGAGAAGAGGGAGGGAGGGTATTGGAGATTTTGGTATTGGTAGAGGAGGAGGATTTGATATGGAATGAATTGATATGATGTGATATGATATGATATGATATGATATGATATGATATGATATGATATGATATGATATGATATGATATGATATGATATAATTAACATCGGTTTTGTTTGATTTGATTTTTGAATTGTTTTTGAATTTGCTTGGTTTTTGATCTGTTTAGGTTTTGATTTTTCTTGTTTTTGATTTGTCTGGTTTTTGATTCCTCTTTCTATTCCTCTTTCTATTCCTCTTTCTATTTCTATTTCTATTTCTATTCCTCTTTATCCCCTAGACTATTGATTACAGCCGGGTTCTATTTACAATATCTCATTAGCCAATAAAGTAATTATAATCCAAGAGCTCTTGAAATTATAGATTATATTATCTTGAATATGAAATATAATAGGATTTAAAAACTTTTTATTAATTTTTTTTTAAAAAAAAAAATTGTAATAAACCTTTTAATTATTATCAATTTATTAAATTCTAATCTTTAATTTCAATTAAATAGTTTTCATATTTGATATAATTCATAAAGTTATTAATATTCTTATTTGCATACAGGCTATATATGCCGGCCGTAATCAACGGTCTAGGGGATAGGATAAATATCTTTTCCCTAAAGAATCAATTTCGCCTATTATTTATAAGTTTTAATACTCTATAATATTCCTCTTGTGTATTAATATAAAGGCATTTAAGTTTATTAATATACATGATATGATTCCCCGGACTTTATTATCGATTAAAGGGTTTTATATATTTCATTGCAATTTTGAGTTTTGAAATATTTGATTTTTCTTTTTATTTTGATATTGATATTAATATTGATATTGATATTTTGGGGTTGGGATTGAGATTGAAAAGCTGGAGAGTTGAGATATCTGAAGATGTGTTGAGAGTGAGGTTTCTGGAATTCTAGGATTTGGGGGGTTGAAATGTTGGAATGTTGGGATGGTAGAGGTGATCGTGATGGGTGAGATGGAGGGTTTCCTGAGTGGAAAAGGAAACTGGTGGGTATGAAAAGGGTGATATGGTGGGTGTAGAGCTTTGGGTGAGATTCTGGTGAAAGTGAGTGGGATCTTAAAGGGGATGTGGGAGGTGTGGAGGGATAAGGTGAGAGAGGATAGGGCGGGTGTAATGAGAATTTTTGTTTCTGGACAGGGTTCTCGGATATTTTGATAGAGGGGGAGAGGGGGGGGTTGTGCGGGCTACACGGTGAGGAGATGAGAAATAATAATGATAGGTTTGATGGAGTTGGATTCGTGGATTGGGGAAAAGAGGTATATGACATTCAGAGGTTTCCTCGTCTCTTTAGAGACTCAGACAGCGATCTATTATGAATATCTGTACAGAGATCTGCGCTAAACTATATGTGTATTCTTGATGATTGATTTGTAATTTTGAAAGCTCAAAGATATGTATTGGGAAAGGTGATTGATAATAATTAACTTTTTATTTATTTTCAAAAGATTTATAAGCACTTTTAGGCTTTAAGGCATTTTTTCCTCAATGTACAGACTTTTATAGTAGTTTGCTGTAAAAATCGCTTCGTTTGTTGGAATTTGCGATAATTAGACTAAGAATGCGTATATGGTAGGATATACGAAGTTTGAAGTATGAATGGATAGTTTCTATCTGTAGGAGGCTTAAGATTTGAGCGTTTATATTATCTCTTTCTTATTGTTTATATAAGCTCGAGGTGGATATCGAGAATTATAACTCCTGACGTGACTTTCTTACATAATCATGTCGTCTATTTAGCGAGTGTGGGGTTGACTGATTGAGGCTCTACGTAACTGAAAAAAGCGGCGGAAATTGAACACTATTCAAAAGAACTTCAACGACTAAAACTCCTTTTGATGTAATATTAAATGATAAAAACACTTGATATCAATACGAAAAAAACTCAAAGTTTCGTATACTTTTTTCAAATTTCAATATTTAATCTGAAATGAATTTATAATCTATTAAAAAAGACCTCTAAAAGGGTACTCAATTTCCGCCGCTTTTTTCGGTTACGTAGAGTGAGGTTACCTATCCATGCGTGACGGGTGTCCTCACCACCATATGCACAACAGTTGGATTTCGAACTCTGAGCAATGATTGCCGGAACTCTGGAATCTCTATCTTAGATGAGAAGTTCAATAAATCTAGCAAGTTGCTATTATCGAGAGCGCGATTGTGATCATTGGCCAAGATTTACAAGTGATTGAAATTGACCTGGTAAATCTTGCACGCGGTTAAAAGCGTGACGGAGATAAATGAATTCTGATTTGTGGTCGTTTTATAAGATGATAGGGTGTTTGAGAAATTCGTGATGGTGCGAAAGAGGGGATGGATATATCAAGTGTATATATTTCATTTTTGTATCGTTGTGGGTTGTGTTACAAAGGATGAAAACTAAGAGGGTAATGAAATTGTTTGGAAAACTGGTTTTACTTTACAATGATAATCCTCCTACAAAAGATTGCTACATAGTAATATTCAAATCTTCCGAGGGAACAACCACTACAGAGCAGTACGGCCTAGGGCGAGAACCCTATATCTCTCCTTTCATGTTCCAATATTGGCACTTATGTTTCTCATTTCTTTGTGCCAAGCTTTTGAGTGTTTCTAATTCTTGGTGCTTTAGATCTCATTTGCGACTGAGAGGGTTGAATGAATCAAGTGCATCGCAAGCGATGTTTGCCAACGCGACTCCCTCAATAATAATTCAAGCAAATTCGGGAGGTACAGCGTCGAATATGATGGCGAGAACATCGAATACTGTGTCGACTATTTCTGAGCAATGAAAGGTGCCAAGCTCGCGTAGCTCAAATCCGAAGTCTTGTGATGACGTCAGCATTATCCCATCACACTATATTTTAACTATCCTGTGTTTTGAGCCACTGCTATGCAGTTTCTGGAGTGTCGTCGTGAAGTTCTGCATCGAAAGATTATAAAATTGCAATAGATATCACATCCAGTAGTGGTAATTGATTCACCTGGCCCCACGAGTCTCTTGAGATCAATCTCATTTATTCAACTGAACGGTCGACAATTATCTCTCGATGTACTGGCGTTGGCGTATGAGGTAATCACGTTGATAAAAAAAATCGCGTTGGCTAGTAGAGTTGTGTTCCCCGTCGGTGACTTTTATGGTGACCTCGCCATCCTTGGGTGTCTTTTTCTCAAGCCAAGTCGCGGTGCCGATAGCTATAGCACCGGGTGAAATATTAGGCTATGGTTCAGAGCCAGTTGCACCAGTGGGAATAGGACATAAGCTTGCCCAAGCACTGAAAAGACTCTTGAAGAGGGCTTCTCCTGTCATGGCGGGACCTACGTTGACTTGAGAAAGGTCCCATTTCCATCGTCGCTCTTGAGTGCGCAAGGTCCTCTGATCTCACGGCATATCAGTCATTTTAAACCCAAGCCTTAATGGGCTATGAGCAATTTTGGCTGCCTTCCTCAAAGAATGACTGTTAAAAGCCTTCGCACTCACACTCCAGTCACATATCATACAGATTATAAATCAACATGTACTACGATTGAAGTTATTTTTAGAACGAGATTCACCACAATGACACACCTTGTTGGGGAAAATGACTGACAAAACGTGTTTTTGCCTCGAAATTCACTTATTGGTGACTGAGTTCGGCAATTATCGTTCCATAACAAGCCCTTCTTTCAGTCATGTTAAATTTACCCCAGTCGCACACATCATTGATGAAATTTGATGACCAAACGAACCTCGAAACTCTAAAATGACTGGAATACAAGGTATTATGACAGAATCACTCTTCAGTCCGCTGCTTCTGTGTCATTTATGTCTATTTTGGGTGATTTGAAATGACCTATGACAGTTCGAGAAAAAAGAATCAATTATGATTCAATGCTTCGTTTGAATGACTGATTCGAGTTCCAAAGTCCCTCCAAACGCGCTTAAATAGGATGAGACGCCCCTTTTATTTTCTGTTACTTCTCTCGTACAGTTCCAACAATCACTTTACGCACACATACACACATAGTATCCTCATCTCTATACAAAAGCAAATTCTCATCCAAATCAACATCAACACTTTACAAACTCGGCGAGTTCTCCAAAGTTCTTCTCTTAAATATTTACCAGACTTGAAAACTCTGTTATCACTTCTCCACAATCCAATAATCCTCCTGGCGTTATTTCCACCAAAGTTCTGTCGAATCCCTGCCAAAGTTTTGTTTGCTCTTCATCAATCTCCAGTGTCTCTCTATCACACCAGCCAACGTTCAGCAACCCCTTCATCAACAACTCATCATGTCTATGCTACCACCCAAGACCGACAAGGATTTAACTCACGACGAAAGAATCATTATAGACTTGTGGTCTGAATACTTGAAAACGGATTTCGATAAGATGTGGCAGTATCAGGCAGATGAAGAAGATAATGTCGTAGAGAAGATCTCTCGACAAGTGGGCGGAGATCTAAATACCAGCGCCAAAATCAGTTCCGCTTACAAGAAAATTCCCAAAGGCCCAGGACTTCCCGATTCTGAGCGTATTTTAATCGTCAATAAGGCTCGCCGCTTTTTACACAAATGTTTCAAAGAGGGGAAGGGTTTTGCCTTGGATCCCGCCGCATCTGAGAAACTTGTCGATGAGATTGAAGTTGAATGTGGTACTAGACTTGATATTTCCGACATTGGATATCATTATCTCAAGTACAAAAAAAGAAGTTATGCAGACTATCTTGTACTGGAATGGGCTGTGCATTGGAACACTGAGTACGAAACTGACCGGGACCGCGAAGATGCAGGAAAGCGTGTCGAGTCAACGCTCAGACACTTCTTCAAAAATGCTACAAGCGAGCAAGTTATTAAAGATTATTATATGAAAAGACGCGGGGATGATGAAACAGAGTTCCCTAGCAAGCCAAAGGAGACTCTGGAGGAACGTCGACGAGCGGCAAGCAGCGGGTCAAGATACCCAAGATAACTGGATTGCATCAGTGCAAATCTATAACATCGTTTGACGGAGTTTTGAGGTGTTGGTAGAGGAAGTTGGGAGTGTAATCTTCTTCCCAACATGGTATTTCTTTTGTCAAGAGTCTTTATCGTTGCTTTTGAGGTTCTTTTATATTCATTGTAATAGACTTCCATGTTTCATATCGTTGGTTTTGGGATTCAGGGCTTGGACTAGTATGTGCACGAATCCATATTTCTTTCTTAGATGGGCTTCGGGAAGTTGGGGTTAGATTTGAACATTAGCTAGATTTTAATGTCAGTACTTGAATTGAACAATTACATTGAATTTCATTACCGGAAACTGAGTTGGTGAAGAAATACTTGTTATTGTTTGATATTACGTTGGACAAAGCATATATGTTATTGGATACAGATCTGATCACTTGTGTGGATGTTCGATGTCGGAGTCAAAATTGAACATTGGATACATCGCGAATGTTGTTCAGATTGGCACTGGACATTGCTCAGTCAATTTATATGTAAGACGTGAACATTTTGGTGTCTCTAATTTGATGGTTTTGCTTGTATCTAGACATTCGAGTACCATCTGACGCTGCAGCGATAATGTCACTGGTTCATGTTACATAACTCACTTAAGTCCATTGAACAATCACATTCAATTGAGCGTTTTCTGTGCTAACAATCCTCTATTGTTATACAATAAAATAAAATTGAAATTGTAGAACAAAAAGTTGGCCAGTTGGTTGCACATAGTCTGTCCATCATGCTTCTCCAATCTTGGTGTGTTATGGTAATAATATGGAAGCGTTTCTGTCTTCGTCTACGTTTCAAATCATCAACGACAATTTGATTTACAATATCCCATCGGCAACTTTGAAGCCTTTCAGTTAGCATTTAAGTTTTTATTAAGGGAATGAATAGTAAAATCTCACTTGTTGACCAGAGCATGAACCACCCTTCTGACAAGTTGCATCATCCGGAATAAGAGTTCGAGGATCCATCCATTGTGTTGGTTCCGAGCCTGGCACTGCTGCCACGCTTGGCGCCGCCCAGCCTGGGGCCCATTTTCTCTGCGAAAGTAACCCGTTAATTCTTTTTTCCTTCATGTTTTGTTCTTTGGATGTCACTTACCAAAACTTCTAGGAGAGCTGCTCCTTGATCCTCAGGGTGAGCTGTCATATCTATTACAACATATGTATCATTTACACCCCCATAGCTTGGATAACACCAAAGTGACTTTTGATATCCACCTTCTGACATAAAAACTTCATCAATCGCATTTTTGAGGCTAGGGACACATTCAAGGTCCGTACTCTTGCTCGAGTGTGCGGGGGACGAATCTGTGTTTCCAAAACCATTCAAGTTGAGAACGTAGCTTCCGTTAACGAGAGAATCTGATACTTTCTTAGTGTTATAAGAGCAGCAGAAGGAAGGAAAGGGTGTTGGCTCGACGCTAACAATGTCAGGGGGATCACGATATGTAGTAGTTGTAGCCTCAGTAGTATCACGGAGGACGAGGCTTTCAAGAGTGGTAGGGGCTGGTGTGATTTGTGCTGAATAGATTTCCGGGTCACCCATGGCTGTAGTCGAGAGAGCCGACAAAAAAAGTAGTAAAGGTGTATAGATAAACATGTTTTGATTAATGAAAGTATAAAGTATCGAAGATGAATAGTTGATATGAAGGCAAACGTCTAAATAATCATAAAACGAAGCTTAATCAATCGATATTCTCCAATTGCCCATTTTGTTTTATATAAACAATCGCGACGCAAACAGAAGCGCTTTTGATAGACTTACTCTTGGTCGCCAAGCTTACTGGATCTCAATTGACGCGCTAGTAAGGTGATGTTGGAATGAAATGCTGGGGTATTATTGAAGCCGCTGCGGCCATCTGCTAAGCGAAGGAGCAATGACCTTAATCATTGATGGAGCCTAAGTTTGTGCGAATAATGAATTGCATCAATTTCAGGCACACGTAAAAGAGCGGCTGAACAGAAATTAAATGCCTTGTGTGGAGAATTTTTTAAAATCCAAGAGTGTTTGGATCCTCATATGTAAGAACGAGTTTGCGCTATGTAAAGTCTTATGACCTCATAGATCAATCCAAAAATGAATGTGCAATTCCGATTGTAGAGCGCAGGCAAGGCAACAGCTCACGCTGCGTTACACCGCGTCCTATATTGACTATCAATCTTTCAGTGAATTGTTGGCAGAGATTTGAATGAAGCTACTCCGCTTGCTCCTTCGTTCTTGATTTTCAACCCATCATCCGCCAGTGGAGTAAATATTGATTCTTGTTTTGGTGATTAGAAGGCATGACGAACGATATCTCTCATCCCTGATTGAGTGAAATGCTTATTGAATGAAGCTCTCGGCACTTCTGTAAGTTTATGCAGTGTCAATTCATTGAGAGTTATAGTCAGGTTCCGATATCATTGAGCCTCTCTTCAATGGAAGTATCAATCTAGCATGATTTCCGCTCTTTCACAAGTATATCTCATCTCCGAATTTGACTGGCGAGAGACGGAAACTCCATATACAGCTTGTTTATGATTGCCGTTTCTCAAAGGTGCTAACGTAATGAGGATCACCGAGTACTTTTGCAATCTGGCTGCACTTAAGAAGTGACGCTCGGCCACTCTATAGTCTAATGTGCCAATAAAAGATATTGGCGATCTTTGGTGAACTAATGTCGTGGATGGCGATCCAATGGTGAATGGAAGCTTTGTTTTCGTTAAGATCAGGTTGGTTATGTTCAATTTGCTACCTTGTTGAAGGTGTCAGTCTCGTTCACCATATGATCTCCATACTCATTTGAGCCAAACAAAGCCACGGCAAACTCTGCAGTAAGCATTGCCATACTTGTTATGTTTCTGTCATAACATATTGCAGTTGGGAATCAAATCTTCAATAGTCCGTTGAGATCTTTCACGGGTAGTTTCAGGTTCTAGTGTCTGGAAATCTAAATCAGAAACATGACAAGACTTAGCTACTCGCCCATCGATACCTCAATTGTGTGCTATAAATGACTGAAGCGACATAATTATTTCAAGATATGACTTAGTGCTCGAAATTGAGCGGAACGTATTAAATTCTGTGACCCTTATTTGAAAGTTCCGCTTGAAAAATTGCAGCATTTACTCTCTTGTCCATACAATATGAGAAGCTCAATGTTGCAAGATCGATCTGAAAAGTTTGTGCCATGGTCAGGCTTGAAACGCCTGAAGAAGATCCGATACTCACTAGCAACGAAAATACAGTAAGACATGCCATTAAAACCTCTAGTCTTCTGATGTTATACACACGTTCGGTGAGACTTATGAGACTGACGCATGAAACATCTATTTTGAATCTGTTCATTTAAGGCCCTCGATACTTGGAAATTCAAGTGTACCTCACTTAAAGGTCCTGCTCGTGGACTCCTCACACGCCATCGAACAGTGAGGGCTATCCTTTCCAAGGCACTGGTAATATTAAGACCCAAAATCGTAGAGTCTCTTGTCCTTATCGCACTGAATTTGGTTGTTTGGATGGACAAAAACAATTTTTGAGACTTCAAATACGAGATCGAGTCTACAAAAATACATCTTGTGACTGCAATGGTACAACTGCAAGTGATCATAACGCTCTATGTGATAGTGGCTGCGAGGCAAAACTATTGCACCTCAATCAAATTCATGCGCAATCTAGTTTCTGACCGCAGAAGATACATCAAACGGAATGACATGTCGTCGTCAAGAATTTTCCAAGAACAAATTGAAAAATTACTTGATGACTCGGATGTGTAACAAATATGAGGGCATCCGTCGACGCATTTAAACCCGAGAGCAGCTCGATCTCGGCCACCAAGGCACGATAACCGTCCTGGAATGGGCATAGCTTTTGCACAAGATTAAGCAAAGCTTGAAGAGAAAGCATTCTATGAAGTGTAAATTCATATGTTTTGAGCCAGCGTCGCTGCTCTTAAGATCTTCTCATTGACATTGCCGATCTACAATAATCTTCCACAGAAGTGGGGTTGGTGGGGGTTACATGGTGGGGTTGAGAGATATTTCATCATTCCTCCACCCTGAGATGTAATAGCTCGGAATACTACTATCCAGGTACTAAATTCCCCCTCCCCCACGTTTAAGAAGCCACGTCTTATTAAAGTCTGCTTGTCCCTTCATTTTCACATCGATCAATCAAATAAAACCAACAACATACCAACAAACATAATCAAATAAGAACACAATGGCCGATACAAGATTCAAGCTCAATACCGGTGCTGAGATTCCGGCATTAGGACTTGGTACATGGCAATCTGAGCCGGGCGCAGTCGCGAAAGCCGTTTCTTACGCACTGTCGATTGGATACAAACATATCGATTGCGGTATGACCTCCTTCTATTTGCCTTCTGCTCTTCACCTTCTACTTTCGTAAATGTGGGGATATGTGTAATACTAGCTAACGAACTCGTGCAGCATATGTCTATGGAAACGAAGAGGAAGTAGGACAGGGACTCAAGGAAGCCTTCGCATCCGGAGTTAAGAGAGAGGATATCTTTATCACTACCAAATTATGGTGTACATATCATACGCGAGTCGAAGAGGCTCTTGATAAGAGTTTGAAGAGGTTGGGACTGGATTATGTCGATTTATATTTGATGCATTGGCCAGTTCCTATGAACCCAAATGGTAAGCGGATTTCTTTCACTTACCCCGTTACCCCTTCATTTTCATCGCGTAATAATGTCTAACATTTCAACTAGGAAACCACGAATTGTTCCCCAAACATCCCGATGGCTCCCGCGATCTTCAAACAGAATGGTCCCACACCCAAACATGGCAAGAACTCGAGAAAGTCTCCAAGACCGGTAAGACAAAGGCCATCGGAGTTTCCAACTACAGTGTAAAGAATTTGGAAGAATTGTTTTCGAAAGCTACTATTACTCCAGCCGTCAACCAAATCGAAAATCACCCTTCATTGCCACAGCAAGAGATTTACGATTTGTGCAAGTCAAAGGGAATCCACATCACAGCTTACAGTCCTCTTGGAAGCACTGGTAGTCCATTGTTCACCGCTGCCCCAATTGTTGAGGTTGCGAAGAAGAGGGATGTACCACCAGCTTCAATATTGCTTAGCTACCATGGTAAGACCCCCTTGAATTTGCGACTGCCGTTGTAAGTCATGCTAATAAACAATAGTTGCTCGGGGAAGCTCGGTCCTCGCCAAGTCCGTCACTCTTGATAGAATAAAGGCAAACATGAACATCGTAAAATTGGACGATGCGGACATGAAGATCCTAAATGATTACTCGGATGATTTGACGAAGAATGGAAAACTCATGCGATATGTATTCCCAGCATTCGGTGTTGATTTGGGATTCCCAGATAGAAAGCCTTAGTTAGAGAACTTGAGCTAATATTGAGGAAGGTTCCCTCAGGAGGAAATGGTCAGAAGGAAAACTAAGATCCATGAATCGAAGTTTCGCAATCTGTATATGGTAATGTATATAGAAATTAGAATATAATGGAGAGACTTGTTAAGTAGATCACTCTTGGGACTGCCTGCTCTTCAAGCTTCCTCTAAATGCCCCAACCAATAAACCATCAATATAATGACATGACTATCTCTTCATGTGGGGATCATGAAAGAATCTGATAACCGACTAGTGGAAATGTTGAATATGTTCCTTTTCGAAAAAGCGGGTGAGTGGTTAATAAGTCGAAGTGTCTGCAGAGACTCAATAATTTTGATGCCTAGTGGTTCAACGCTTGGCCCGAGTACTCGGATATAGAAAACCCAGTAAACATACCCAATCCAGTGCATCGGAGACGGTAAAGTCAGATCCCGAATAGGCCGTAGAATAAAATTCTTGAAGGATTCTTGAGGATCGATCGGAAAGAGGAGAAAGTGGGGTGGGGTGGAGATCTTAGGAGGCTGAGTGCAGCGGTAGCGGGTTGATTTGGCGGTCACAACATCATCCAAGAAATGGAATGAATTCATTCGGCTCAACGGATGAGAGATTTTCAGATGTTCTGGGCAATTGAAAATAGAACGATGAAGTAGTGGCGATGGGTTGAATTTGAGGTTTTGAACGATAGCTATTGTTCCGGAGAGGGACGTGGCACAATGATTTAGCCAGCATAACCACATTCGGGATGGACGTCATATACCAAAAAGCATAATCAAATGATGAAAATGCATCTAAGCCGTAGAGTGGATGAAGTTTTCTAGGCAGCTATTAAAATAATGATTTCTCCACTCAGGTCTCAAAGAATGATATAAACAAATGAAGGAGTTATGAAGACATACAGCTGAGCCGCATCAGATGCGTGGCGGCTGTTGTTCGGCCTTGAGATGATGATGCTAAAAATAAAGAAGCTTGACTTATGGTGATCTGACGCCAGCACTATGTTTTCTTCTTACTTGCATATCTAATTATTATAGGCCATTTACACGATAGACCTGCACGCAACTCTTGTGTTAGTGGCACCATTTACGTCCGGGCAGCCGCAGAATTAGCTGCATATATTTCACGTGATGAATTGACCAACCAATCGACGTCGAAAGCTCGGCAAAAAGTCAACCTAACGAAGAGTCTAGCTGTCAGTTTGTAGCTTGCTGCAGGGAAGAATCCTGAAACACAC